CACGGCTGGTGGACCTTCGCTCAAAAACCTCACAAGGCTTAGAGCAGTCAGGTAGAACAGCATCTTTTGCAGCCACCTCTTGAAATTCACTCTTGTGAACTTCTCCGAGCGCTCATGATAATTGAGCAGGCCTCCCGAAACAGCAGGAACAGTAATAGGGTTGACCACAAAGGTCACAACAACTGGGTTCACTACAGAGGTCACAGCAGGAGGGGTTGGCAAGCTAGTTGCCCTAGGGTTCTGATCCCCACCAACATTAGCAGCAGCAGCAGCATCGGTAATAGTTGTCATTTCTGAAAAATACAATAAAATTTGATCATTCTGTGTTTCCAAAAATCAAACTTAACACTAGAAAATCCCATAGTTGGAAATTTAATTCAAAACTAGTTTTACCACTTAACCTAGAATCGAACATGGTCGGGAATGTTTCCAGGAAGACTGGATGTGTCACATCGGTCCGACTTAAAACCCAGTTAACCTTAGATAAAACTTTCAAGAGCATGACTCCTAGCCCATGGGAAACAATTTTTAGAATTAAATTTTCCAATGGATGAACTATGTTAAAACAATCTAAGTTCCAAACTTACAAGCGATTTAAAAATTGCTAACCAAATTATAAGCAATGTAAAAAATTGCTACAACAATTACAAGCAAATAAAACTTACTTCTACATATTGGTAAAAAACCATAACTAAAGTCCAAGCAAAAAAATTGCTTTAATTATATATGAAAGAAAATAGCCAATCCATAAGGATTCTATTTAGTCTAAAATTCCCTTTCCATGCTTAGGTTTCATGTTCAACAAAAGAGTTAATAGTCCAATTTTTTTTTTTCTCATTTGGATTTGTATTGTTTTGCTCCATTCTCTTTCGCTTAGGTATTCTGTAAAGCGAGTTAGCAAAAAAACCACAACAAAAATACAAAACACATAATAAGGGGGAAAAAACCCTTAAAAGCAATAGATCAGTTTAAACCTTCTAGCAACCTAGTTAATAACACAATTAACTAATCAATTAAAATGCAAGATGAGTTACAAAAATAAACCTATAACTCTAGAAATTAAATTAAAAGTTAATAGTCAAGAGTTATATATATATAATTATTACACAATAAACATGTAAATAAATATAGACAAGTTACAAAAATAAAATTTATAACTCCACAATTACAATTTTTAATTAGCAAGAGTTACCTATAAACTTATTACACAATAAACATGTACATAAGTATTGACAATTGACATGAAAATAAATAATTCTAGAAATTATAAAACAATTAGCATGCAAATTACACAAAAATCTAGAAACTTTAAAACATGTGAATTATTCTAAAAATTTAAGATCTAAGAAACATGTGAATTTACTAGAAAATTAGAAACAAAAATAACGCACATGTATATCATACTAATTAGCATGTCTATTTTAACTAAATATTTAAATACTCATCAACATGCACAATATATTATAAAATTATAAATTAAAAGGGCATCCAAAGTATGGTAAGAAATCATCACTACAACAAAAAAAACAATTAGCATGCAAATTACACAAAAATCTAGAAACTTTAAAACATGTGAATTATTCTAAAAATTTAAGATCTAAGAAACATGTGAATTTACTAGAAAATTAGAAACAAAAATAACGCACATGTATATCATACTAATTAGCATGTCTATTTTAACTAAATATTAAATACTCATCAACATGCACAATACATTATAAAATTATAAATTAAAAGGGCATCCAAAGTATGGTAAGAAATCATGAACTATGTTCATAGAATAAAATTATACTCAAACAAACCATATGGAAATTTTACTTAGAGATCTAGAAAAAAAAAAAGGTAGGTAAACAAGTAGAAAATCATATTGCAAATATTGATTTACAATCATGTAATTTCAGAAAAACAGTGGACTATGTCCCAGACACTAATCATAGCACTACAGGTATGAATCAATAGGCCAAGTTTGGCATCCTCCAAAAAATCTAAAAAGTCAAAAAGTCACTATCCTATTTAAGTCACATCATCTTATTTAAGTCACATCACCTCTCTAACACATCACTTCAAACCCAACCCAAATCCAACCCAAATTTCATAAAAAGTCAAAAAGTACACTTATATAGTCAAACAGTGCTATCATGTGTATATATATATATATATGCATATGTTATTATTCTTTAAGAATCACAAAAGTCAACAACATACTTCTAAGGTCAATTTAGAACACATGAACAGTAGGCTACTTAGAAGTAATTTTGGTAATAAGCAAAACAGTGTACCATTATTGAAATACTTTAGTGGAATCCCTATAGGTGGTCTCCACAGAAACCAAAAAACAAAAAAAATAAATCGATTATAATACATATGAGTCTATTGAATCAAATTTTATGAAAAATATATAATTTGTTTTAAGTTTGTTGTATCAATGGTGTAATTAAATACAAATTAATTTATAAACAAGTCAGATAGTAAGACATGAAACGAACTGAATATACCAGTTGAATAGAATTACATAATAAACTAAAATGACAAAAAAAAAGTAAACTGAAGCATGCACTAGACAGTTTCTTTTAAACAGATTCCCTACCTCACTGGTTGAGTGCTGAAAGTTTGATCGATGTCTATCTCCCAAGATACGATGGTTGAACCAGTTACAGCAAAGCACTTACTGCGTAGCTTCAGTGAACAGAACAAAAGCAACACTTTCTCGCTAGGAAGAATAAAAAGCTGGAGGAAAATTTTCTGGTTTGCAAAGAGGGCAAATTTTCTAGTAGTAAGAATGAAGGAGAAAGGTCTCCTTTTATACACATCGAGAGAGAGAGGAAAAGGCTCTAGTCATCAAGGCCTATCACAAATGCAGAAATCAATTCTGTATTAACCTGCAAAACTGATGGATTAAAATCCATCATGAATAGATGAGTTACCAGCTATTATATACATGTGTAATGTATATAATTCTGCAGTCCGCCCAAAAAGATTAAGAAAAGTGGGCTAAGCCCAACCCCCACACTCAATCTAGTGCCTCAAGCCCAAGATCCACGGACCAAGAATCGGCCCGGTCCAGGCGAGCGGCCCGCGTGTGGCAATTTTTCCATAACTAACTTGGACCATAGTCTTGGCCTAAGTCCATCCTTGAAACATTCATAACTCCCTTCCTTCGAAAAATTTGAATACCTCAAAAGGCTTACACCCTTAGACAAAAAATAGGATTTAATGCCCATCAATGCTCTCCTCTACAATTAATGTGGGATAGAAAGTTTCACATTTTTCCCAACACCTCTTTCATAAGGTCAACTTAATGAGTCAATTTTTCATTCAAATCTTAATGATTTTTAGTCATTCTTTTTGTGGTGTAAAGATTTAATTACAAAAAATCTAAACTCACTTTAATCCACTTCGATAGAGAATTAAGACCCACTTTAATTTTGCAATATTATAATGAATTATAATTAATATGATAAAAAATATGTACCATAAAATTTTCCGCAGATATTATATATTGTAGCCATAAAATGGTAATTTAGAAGATGGCAATGTTGTCAAAGGTAAATTCCCTTGATTTGCCAATGCAACATAAAATAGGTACAACCACTAGTGATAACAATTGATTTGACTAGTTTTGATGACAAATCGATGTTGTTGTAATTTCATATTAATCGTAGCAATCTTTGAAGAGCAAAGCGCACAGTATAAAATTTGTCATTATTGAACCAGTCAAAGTTCTACTTTACCTAGCTTGTTTTAAACATTAGACCCAAAATGTTGTAAAAATTGAAAGCAAAGCATACACATTGCCACATATGTATATACCAGTTAAAGTGCTACTTTACCTAGCTTGCTTTAAACATTAGACCCAAAATGTTGTAAAAGTTGAAAGCAAAGCGCACACACATTGTCACTCATCTATATACTTGTTCTAATATAGCAATGCTAGCAATATAAAATGAATAATTGAATAATTCACAAAAAAAATATAATAAATTGTTAGAATTAAATCTAGTTATACTTACATTCAAAATAAATCTCAACTTGTTCATAAACTTTTTATGATTCATTCTGTGTTTTTAACCCTAGTGATTCTAATAATGGGTTCGTTGCATTTTTCAAAAGGTAACTCTATTCATTTTAGGTTTGAATAATCATCTATTTTTAATACCACTCAATTAAACTCAATTCAACAAACTTTAATTCTAGTTATTCAAGCATGATAGTTATTTTAGGTGGCACAACTCAAAATTATATCTAATATTAATATTTAAAATGTTTTTTGAATGAATTAATTAAGCTCAATATGGCGAGACAAATATTTTTGTAAGAAAATTTTGTGAAATTATATTTCTAACTGCCAAAATTTATACTATATTTTTAAATGTCAAATGTGAATACCTCTTAAAGCCTCAAGTAAAATACATGATAAGAGATTCAATTTTAAGTGAAATAAAACTCCTCATTAGAACGTTACAATGCGCCACCAAAAAATTAAAATAAAATAAAAATTTGAAAACTACCAAAATGAAAAAACCAGCTAACAAGCAAAATTGCATTGTAAAAATCTCCAACATCTTTCTACATATATTATATATATTGATTTAATATGTTGATAAGAATTCATAGATCTAACGAGAGTATTTATGTGTTTAGCACTAAACTCGAAAACAATTGTGTAAAAAATAAAACACTAGATACGATATAAACAGGATTATATATAGATTTTATATGTATAAGTATATAATATAAAAATAAATAAAAGATCTTGATACTATATTGTAGGTATCATTGAATTGGGAGCAACTAGATTTGGACCCGTGAACATGGGTGAGTTGGTCCAACAACTGTCTTTACAATGCAACTGTACTGAAAAACAACAACACTAATAGGAAGGGTACAAATAGAAAATTACAAAAAACTGATGGGGACAAAACAGAAATATCAATAACTAATAAGGACAAAAAAATAACAACGCAAATATAGCAGCAACTGATAAATAAATAAATACTAGTACCACCTCCACCGCCAGCTAACGCTCACTCTCTCTCTCTCTCTCTCTCCCCATAACCCCCACTTCACGTTGTTCGTTTCTCTCTCTAAAACACACACACACAATGTATATTGGAATTGAAGAAGATGGAGTTGTTGAAGCGAAGTAGGAGAGATTGAATGCAGAGAGAGCGATGATTAGGGAGAAGATGTTCAGGTTGCATAGGCACAAATCGTCTACTAAATCTGGAGAGAGAATCGACTTCAACTTCTCCAACATTCAGGCTCTTCAGGTCCCCTTTCTCTCTCTAAAACCCTCCTTTTTCTCTCTCGTTGTGTGTTTGTTCATTCAAATTTTGATTTTTTGGATCTCTGTTTGGCCTCATTAATGCGTTTAATTTGCTGTTCCATTGAAAAAATAGTCAATTTACGTTGATTTCACATGTATATATACGTTTTTGTTACTATGTATAATAATATATGTATGGAGACACACCAGACATGTATATATTTCTCTGATTGATAAAGAGTTGTTAATATTACATTGTGTTGAAATAGTGTAAATTATCTAATAATAAAGATTCATGTTATTACTAGAGTTCTTCATGATGAAACTGATTGTTTTCATTAATAAGTACATTGCTGGATTTGTTGCTTCGTGTTCGCATTATTGATTTTGGGATGTGTTTGATGTGATTAGATGGCTTTGGCTTTGGATTTTGGGATGGCTTTCGCATTATTGATAGTCGCACCATTTTGGCTAATAGAATAAGAAAATTTTGTATTGGGTACTTGGATGTATGCCAATGGAGGAGAGAAAATATTTTATTAAATTTTCTATCCTCATGATCTAACCACAATTCATGTGTAGAAAATTCTTCTGAATTAATTTGAAGGGAAGAAGGAAACTTCTTACTAAAATGTTTTCAAGTTTACTGGATCTTGTTTTCAATTGAGTATGATATCACATATCCAACTTATATTCAGCCGCTACAGTTCTTTTTTGATAACCGGTTGTTCAAGCCACCTTATGCACACTTTAACTAATCTCAGAACCCATGCAAAGCACCCCATTCACGTGGATTGGGCAGAGCCTACGGGAGTAACCCAAGGAGTTGATAACACCTATTGGAAGTTGAACCTGAGACCTGGAGGGAGCACACCCCCAGGCCCCAATCTGCACCCACTAGGCCAACCGCTTGAGGTTGTTCGTCTTTCCTTTTGTTTGCCCATTGAATTTCCTAGTTCCGTCATGGATTCTTTTAATTGGATTGTCAAATCCCCTCTGGTTGGGCATCCAGCAATATTGACTTGTGATACATTGATACAGTATTGTTGTTCAAGCCTGCCATGGCTCTCATTATTATCAGAGAGTTCTTCTGTATGACAGAACAAGAACAAATAATCAATGCATTCTTTTTGATGCACTAGTGATATTATATCTTTGAACTGTGATACAAAATAGGACTTCTATTAGATTTTGCTGACTTCTGTCCAACATCAGCTTGAATTACACTACTACAGTCATGCTAGGCGGTTCTGGATTTAGAGTGAAGGCATATGGATGTCACTACCTAAGAAATTGTAACTATCACAAAATGTTGACTGATTGAATAGTTTTAAAAAAATGGACTTTGTAATCTAATGTAATAACAGGCTGGCTTACGCTATTGTCTCCCCTGCCCTAGAATTATGACCCAATGATTTCTGTTTTGAGTTTTTATCCAAGCTTATTTGTTTTAACTTCTTTTTTTTTTCCCTGTTACATTGTTCATTTAATTTATTTATTTTTCATGGTTTTGCTCTCTCTATTTTTTTTTTCCCCTTCTAGGTACCCAAAGGATGGGACAAGCTTTATGTCTCTCTTCTCTCCACAGAAACGGGGAAAACTGTCAGCAAATCAGGGAAAGCATCAGTACGGAATGGGACGTGTCGATGGACAGAGACTTTGTCAGAGTCTGTCTGGATTTCACAGGATGAAGCTCCAAAGGAATTTGAGCAATACTTATTCAAGCTAGTCGTTTCGATGGTTCATGCCTATGTTGATTACCATTGTGTCTTTTAATATCGTTTTAATTAAGATTTGACAAGCTGTGTGCCAACCATCATTTTTTCTCACTGGGTTCCTCTTCATGGTCATAGCAATTGATAACATCAAACTAACAGTGTGCTTATTGTAGGGTTCAGCTAGATCCAGTATCCTTGGAGAGGCTACCATTAATCTGGCAGGTTACATGAGTTCAAGAGCTTCTATTCCTGTTTCATTACCTTTGAAAAAGTGCAACCATGGGACAATTTTACAAGTGAGTCATCTCCTAATGCTTCCAAAGTTTGTTTTCGGTTAATGATCCATGATGCTAAAACTCTTTTAGTTTATCTGGAAGTGTTGCACATATTTTTGGGTAAATTACAAAGACACACTCCATGAGGTTTGTCAAAAACATGGATTCCCCCTCACATTCTGCAAATTACGGATACCCCATTGTCAGGATTTTTCCTGCAACTGTTCTAATAGAAATAAATAAAATTATCATACTATCCTTATTTTCATCCACCCACCACCAAATCCTTCTCTCTACACCACCACAATATTCTCCAACCCTCCTCGGTGACATACCAAATGCTTGTAGTAAACAATAATGATGGTTTTGCTGATTGAGAGTGGGAGAGGGTGGTGTATCCAATCACATGTGCAACACTCTTACCATGTCACACTTTAGTAATATCAAATTATATATCTTAAAATCCCGCCATCGAAAATTTACACAAATTGGGTTTATCCCTTAATGCTTGTTGACACGAATATGATGTTATCTCAAGATTTATGCTTCATGTTAAACCTCAATCACTCAAGTGAGTGGATTTAATTCATGGAAATTAAGATAATGGAGGTAATACTAAAACACTGCCTATTCAGATACACAACATTCTTAAGCATTGAACTTGATCCTTAGTGCTCAAACTGGAGTTTGGATTTGTTGGCCATCAACCTAGATTTCATTTGGTTTTAGCAAATAAAACTCTTAGTTTTAACCCCTCATTTGATACAAGAACTTTATCATCTTTCTTCTGCAGGTTGAGATTCAGTGCCTAACTCCAAGAACAAAAAGCAGGTTTGTTGTCTCACACGGGCTTTTTCTTCTTCCTATTTTTTTTAGTGTGTGTGTTGTAAAAGTTTGTTGTTGTCTTTTTTCAGAGAAGAAAAACAGAGACACACAAATTCATTTGCGGAAGATGCAAATTCAGATCTTGATGATTTGGAAAATAAATCAGAGGTGTCTGATTGTACATTCACTAGGAGTGTTGGATCTTCCTCTAGTAACCATTTGGATGGTACATCTCATCCAGGGGATCTTGCTAGCAGGGTATGCTCACCTAAACCTCTCATAATGTGATGTTTTGCTGTTGAAGTACTTCTATAAAAAGTTGCTGCCTTTTTTGTCTGCTCACAGCTATTTTCTTACTGCTTAATCATATTGATATTCAGCAATATTAATACGGTGGTAAAATCTCATCTTGTGTGTTGGCTGAAGTGACAACAGTCACACCAAACCCTCAAGTATGCTCAAACTGTGTATGATATCTACCATGGATCTTGATCCAGAATTTTTTCATTCTTTGTGGGAAGGAGGGCATAATAAGGTCTCTTAGGTCAATTTTCTTTTGTTCTTTTGTAAATATTTAAAAATATTATGATATATCATAAAAAATAATTGCCATCATAGAACAGCTTATCTTAATGTTTTATTGTCTTGAAGTTTAAAACATTAATAGGTATCATTTGGAAAGTCTCGTATGTAATGATACAATGTTATTTGGAGAATTGTTTTGAGGATGTAAATACAGTCACTATATTAGGTATCACATACTTGTTTCTTTGGCTATTAATTACTGTTATGGTGGTGACTCTTCAGGGAGATTTTTCTCTGCACACTTGAGAAATATCTCATTCTTATTACCTGGGAGTATAAAGAGACTATCTTAATAATCTGGAGGTTCAAAAGCCATTTCATGGACCATAGTGTTCTTAAATCTTCAGTTTTTTGAATTAAATAGACCAGGAATCAAGGCTTCTGCATTTTGTCAAATATCACATGGAATTATGCAAGAGATGTCTCATTTAGTTTAGTCTGATATTGTTTTTCCATATCCCTACTGGCACACTTCAAATAGATTTATTTCATGGCCTTCATGCTGCCCTATGGAGCTAACAATCCAATTTCTTCTTGTTGCAGGAGACAAGTTTCTCAGCATCAGGTAGCTTTGACTCAACAGAAGATTCCTTAGGAAGGGAAAGCTTTTCTCCTCAAAGTAACATAAGTGGGGTTGTACAACATGTCATTGGAAGGCAAGATTCAGCTGGCTCGCAATTTTGTGCACCTCATGGCTCTCATCCCGTCTATGATTCTCCCGGTTCAAACAACTCATCTAATAGTTCAGTGAACTCTGGTTCAGTAAGGCATCTTCAGAATCAAAGAGGAAACTATGGACAAATCTCACATATCACGTCACCATTACGAAATGCTGGTTCCTCTATAAATTATCTGGAAACTGAAGAGGTCACAATTGAAGAACTTCGGGCAGAAGCTGGGATGTGGGAACGAAATGCTCGGAAGTTAATGCTTGATCGGGAATTATTGAGTAAGGAATTTGCTGACCAGTCAAAACAACTGACAAATCTTGATGTGGAGCTTTCTGCATCACGTACAGAATGTGATGGGCTCAAGCAGGAAATTGAACACTTAAAAGTCCTCTTAGATGAATCGATGGAGAAACAAAAAGGTATTGAGAATTTGAAGATTCAATCCAAGGATATGGATAATATTCAGAAAGTATTGGAAGATGAAATCAAGTTTCAGAAAGATTCGAACGATGGTTTGGCTATGCAGCTTAAGAAAACACAGGACTCAAACCTTGAGCTTGTTTCCATCCTTCAGGAAATGGAAGAGACAATAGAGAAACAAAAGTTGGAGATAGAGAACCTCACAGTGCTGAAATCTAAATTTGGTGATTCAGGTAAAAAGTACAGTTTCAGGCCTGAGGACAATGGAGAAGTAAATCCAAGCGAGGAAGTTTCGGCAGAGAAAATGAGGAAGGTCTCTTGTGATTCAGATTTGGAAGGTAGTCCTGTGGAACACCTGATAACTGTTTCGTATGCAGAGTTTGAACAAGAGGACTACTCAAATTTAGAACTCCAGCTGCAACAGCTGCGAGAATCACAAAAGAATTTGGAAAGTACCATTCTACATCTAGAAAAAACACTGGAGGACAAAAATCACGAGATAATAATTGAACGAGACCTCAAGTGTCGAACTCTTCAGGATTGTGAAGCGGAATGGAGATGTAAATTAACTGTGAAAGAGGAGGAAATCATCAACTTGGAAGCAAAGTTATCAAAAGCACTTGGCAACAGAGATTCAACAGTAACGGAGTCTGAAAATAGAGGTGATCTCAATCTGATCGAAGAAATTGAAGTTCTAAAAGAAAAGGTTCAGGAGCTTGAGAAAGATTGCAATGAGCTTACAGATGAGAACTTGGAACTTCTGCTTAAGCTAAAAGAAGCCGGAAAGAATCTACCAATAAATAGTGCCTCTGAATCTGATGTAAGAAAACTTAGGTACCAAATATGCCAGCTCAAACAGGAGATAAAGAATGAGGAAATCCCTATTGAACGAGTTGCCACCAATCATATACGGATTCAAAATGTAGATCTTGAACATAAGTGTGCTGAAATGGAACTCCAGTTGCTGTCTTTCAAGGATGAAGCTTGTTATCTTAATGCTGAACTTCAAAAATGTCATTCTAAAACAGAAGAGCAGGAAATTCAAATTGCTGCACTGCAGCGACAGTTAGAATATTGCCAAGGGGAAAAAACTGGAAGTAAGGACAATCCTGCAGATATTGGTACAAAGTTGGAGAACTCTGAATCTCTAAATGCCATTGATAAGTTTGAATTGCTGCCTGCATTATTTGAACAGCTCCAACTTCTCTTAGTCAATGTAAAGAAGCAACGGTATACTCTTTATTCACCTGTAGATACTGAATATACATATGCTGCTAATAATTCATTTAGTTTATATTGTAAAGAACTGACTACTCAAAAAGGACTGGAGGAAGCTGTATTGGACAATTTGGTCCAGCTGAACAAATTATTTGAAGCAAAGATAGCTGTGTGTGAAGACAATCTTCCATGTACGGAAACAGTGATCACATCCACAAATGCTAATGAAATCCAAAACAAACCAGAGGGTGATAATTTGGAGAAAATTACCCTTTGTGCTTGTAGTGAAGGAATCAGCAGTTCGAATAAGGAAGTAAAATCCAGAGTTGCAGATCTGAGTAAGGAACTGTTGGCAAAAACTTCTCAGATAGAAGATCTTAATGCTGACCTTTTGCTGAGGGAAGAAGAGATCGAAGCTTTAAGGCATCATCAAAGGGACTTGGAAACTCAAATTTCTGATCTCCAAAAGATAAAAGAACAGATGGAAGGAAATATGGAAATCATGCAAAGAGAAAGAAGTGTCATCTCTGAATGTTTGGATAATTTGAAAAATGATTTGATGGTGCTAAGCAGCAGTATGGAATCCAAAATTTCAGACAACAAGGTCCTTGAGAGGAAATCACTGGAGCTAGAAAGTACCAGATGTGAATTAGAGCATCACTTGTCAGAACTAGAAGAAGAAAACTTATGTTTATCGGGACGGATAGCTGGCTTGGAGGCTCAATTAAGATATTTGACGGAGGCAAGGGAGGCAAGTCGTTTGGAACTGCAGCATTCAGAATCTCATGTTTTGAATCTTCAGGATGATATAAGAAAATTGGAAAATGAAATGGAGACTCAAAAGATTAGTATGAAACAGAAGACAGAGGACATGCAAAACCGGTGGTTAGAGGCTCAAGAAGAGTGCGATTATCTGAAAAAAGCAAATCCGAAATTGCAAGCAACTGCAGAAAGTCTCATTGAAGAATGTAGTTCACTTCAAAAATCCAATAGAGAGCTAACAAAGAAAAAAATTGAATTGCAAGAGTGTTGTACTGTTTTGGAAGTGGAACTCAAGGTATCGCGAAATAAATTCTTTAACTGCTTGGAAAAGATTGAAGATTTAGATGCAAAATTTTCTGCAATTCTTGAGGAAATTGCCTCAAAAGAGAAAATTTGGATTTCAGAACTGGATGCTCTCCGCCAACAAAATGAAGAATATAAAGAGAAACTTGTTGTCAAGGATGGCTTGTTTACTCTAATTTACTCGGAGAAGGCAGCTGAAGTTGAAAACCATCAAGAGGTAGCAGACCTCACTGGTCAGATTCCTGAAGCTGATCTTGAAGAAGTCCAAGGAAATTTTCAGTTGTCTCAGAAGAAGATTGAGATCACCCACATGGACTGTGACAGAAAGATACTAGATCTGATGAATGAGCTTGCTGTTTCCAAAGAAAATCATGAAATTCTGGTGGCTAACCATGAAAAGCTACTGGGGTTGTTGGAAGATGTCAGATCTAATGAAGACAAACTCAAAGGCACGATTAATAGTCTTGAATCGAAACTAAAATCAGCTGAACATGAAAGGCTACAACTTACAGAAGAAATTTCCGGCCTGAAAATCCAATTGCAGAAAATTTCACCTCTTCAGGATGAAGTTTTGGTTCTCAAGGGGTCGCTCTACGGGACAAAATTTGAAAATGAAAAACTGCAGACCTCATTACAATTTTTATCTGGAGATTATGAAGAATTGAAGACCGAGAGAATCTCACTTCTTCAGAAAATCTCAAGCATGCAGAAGGCTACTTCTGAATTGGAGAATTGCAAACGCAGTAAAGACGCCTTGGAAGAAAAGATGTTGCGGCTGGAAGGGGATTTAACTGCAAGTCAAGCACAATGCACCCAGGATTCTGAGCTGAAAAATGAGCTTGGTCGAATTAAAAGACTGAATAGCCAATTTCTGTGGAAGATAAAACATGTTGAGGAGGAGAAGGAAGAGTGGCTCCAGAGAGCTCAAGCCCTTGAAGAGGAGCTGAAGCAGAAGAAAGAAGTAAAACAGGAACAAATTGAGTCCAGAAGTAACCATTTTGTTGAAGACCCAAGATCCTGTGCTACAAATACTTCTATCAACCAGGAATTGAAACTTTCAGAGGTTCTCATCAGCTATTTTTCTGTCTCATTTTAATTTGATATTATTTGGATTTGAAGAATAAAAACACTGATTTGTAAAGTTTGTGTTGTATTGACAGAAAAAGGAAGAGGGTAACATTGTCCAATTAAGCAAAGATCAATCAGAATCATGTGTGAAGACTGAAAATCAAGGAATAGCTCTCCATCAAAGACACGTAATATTATCATACTGCTTTGCTGCGTTCCATTATGACTTTCCAATCTCAATAAATGAGAATAATATTTATTCTCGTGGTTTTATTTACAAAGCATATGTAAATTACAAACTTCACCTTTCTTGTCCTCGTTTTCCTTTTAACTCTCAGGACAATGATGAACAATATGATAATACGGCAAGCTCTCCAAAGGCAGCAATTGATACAGCTTCTAGGATACAATTTCTTGAGAATGAACTTGCCGAGGCTTTGGAGGCAAATGACTTGTATAAAGCACAGCTTAAGAGGTGAGCAATGTTCTTATTCTTAGCATAGTATGTCTTTGCTTCTTACAGCTCATACCCTAGAGATGTAATTTCCTTGCAGTAATAAAATTTTTTGAACATCCTTTCTTCTAGGTTTTTGCATGCTTTAGGAGAGAGATGATGATATCTACCAAGTAATCTGGATCAAAATAAACTGATGCATTTAACTGCTGTGAAACATATTGCATGCCCTGTCAGACCTTGAATTCTACTTTATTAGCATTTCAGATTTTTTATGAACTCTTTGGGTTTTGAGTTGAATGCATCTCAAGTCCACATTGCCAAAATGGTGTACTAGCTGAAACATGAAGTTGGAGAGTATAATCTACTAGATCTTATTTAAAACATTGATTTCTGCTTTTATCCTTAGTAGTAGGAAACTCTTACTTGGGTGACCTTTTTTACTCAAAAACTCAATTTTGTGCTCTAATGTATGAAACTAGTAAGAAACACACTCCCAATTGAGATAGAACATCCCAAATATAGAAATCTCAAATAAGCAAAAGAAAAACAATTCAAATTTATTCTAACACTTCTACCACCCCATCATCACCACCTGCCACCACCACAACCACTATTCCACCACCATTTCCACCACTACATCACCACCACTAATACAATCACTAGCACATTAGTTTCAAGGTCGCAACCAAACATTGGGAAATGCTAGCGTAAGAGAGTGAAAGCATTTTTAGTTCCATATGTAACAGTTGTAATGGGTTTTTCTCTTCTTTTCAGTTTGCTGGCTGAGGAGGTACAAATTGGTCAAGCAATCAACAAAGAAGAAGAAAAACAGAAAGCAGATAAGCTGGAAGCCGAGTTAAGAGAGATTAGTGAGCGCTATTTGGACATGAGTCTCAAATATGCAGAGGTAGAAGCTCAGCGGGAACAACTTGTGATGAAGCTCAAGGCCGCCAATAGTGGGAAGAAATGGTTTTCATAAAGACAGGAGGGAGGTTTTGGCTTTATCTTCCCAATATCTTAGCAATTTTCCACTCTATTCTTCATTTTTTTTTTTCTGTAGAGTTATAGCTTCTATTACAACTTGCACTTTTTACAAGTGATAAAAGAAAATATATCCCATACAAGGCGGTGGAGGAGGAGGCAGCTCCTTACATTAAAGGAGGTGAGATGAAGAAATGAACATGTCTTTATATTTTTGGTCGGGGAAAGAGATTAAATGTTAGCTTAGCTTGTACCAAATATCCCATACAAAATTTAGTTAAAACAGAAATATAATTTTTTTAAAGATAATAATAATCTGATCACAGCCCCTTGTAATTCCCTCTCCTAGTTCAGGTACAATAGCAAAAGTGTGTTGAGACCGGATCTTCTGAAGCAATGGATGAATGGGCACGAAGCGTATACTTTCAATTAAAAATTTTAATATGAGAATATATAATTTTTAAGACTTTCGTTTTTGTGCTGAACCAATAATTTGGGTACATAAGATTGGAAAATGTCATATATATATATATATTCACTAGTTTTGACTGGGACTCACATCAAAACTTGTGAATGTGTTTGTACATTTATTTATAAATAAATATGTTAGGGGACCTGTTTGGGATGGTTTTCATTCCATAGATCTCGTTTTCATTCTGAATTTTTTATTTTTATAATTTTTTAAAATAAAAACAGCAGAAAGTTCAAAAACATCATAACTTGTCACTTTCCTTTTTTATAAATGTGATTTTGAGAAATATATTTGGCAACGATCCATTTTTTTCCCCGAACAATGTTCATTTTTCATTTGGCTAAAATTAAAAAACAGGAGTTGATTTTTTGGACTTTTTTCGGTTAGATTTATTTTTTTATTTTAGTGACTACTATTTTAAAATTGTCAAATTTCTTTATTTCTTAGAGTCATCTTTGACTAGACAATGTTTCAAAAATCAGAAAAACAAAAAAAGACAAAAATAAGCCATACTTAAGTATTTTCTTATACAATTTGAATTAATTTGGCCTTTAGTGAATTTTTTCAAAATTGATTTTTTTTTTTTTTTTTTTTTTTTTTTTTTTTTTTTTTTTTTTTTTTTTTTGGTCTAAGGGAAGCAGGAAGGAGGAAACGGCACTAAAATAAAACAGTTTAAATAAACAAAATAAAACAATTTAAATAATATAATATAATAAAACTTACAATTGTTTACTGGAATGAAACAAACAGTTCTTCAAAATACATAACTTGAAAACGAACTTGAACATAAAATTACAGAGATAGTTATTTTTCTTTTCTTGATAAATGAGCACTCTCAATTTTTTCTAACTCTACCTATCAATTTACTAGGTTCCCCAATTTATAAGCCAAATAAAGTAACTATGCAGCTCGTGACTAGTGGCTAGAAGAGCATGATGGTTATAGCGATCCTGGTTCTTCCTTCTTTAATTGTTGTATCCGAACTTAGGTTCCGTGGAGTTGGTTGTTGTATATATCTTGTTGTCATTCTTTAATTCCATATATTTGAGTTTTAGGATGTATTGGGCGTGTTTCGAACAGGTTGGTTGTGCTTTAGTCCCATTCCTAGCTGCCCAGATTTTTGGTGGTCCGCTCGAGCGGGTCCATTGGCGCTCGAACGGAGTTTTCACACTCTCAGCATTTTGTGCCTCTACAAAACTTCTGTAGATGCGTTTTTCACGCTCAAGCGGATATTCTTGCTCTCGAGCGGGTCACGCTCGAGCGGGTGTGCAATGTCTATAAAAGTACTGGACAAGTGAAATCTACGCTCGAGCGGGCTTCCCTTTGCGCTCGAGCGGGTGTGTTTTGCAGTTTTGTCTTGACGCTCGAACGGGTATTCTTGCGCTCGAGCAGGTCCAATTTTTGTGTTTGACGCTCAAACGTCCTACTCGAGCGGGTCATACGTATATCAGATCACAGCTGGGTCATTTTGAATCACTTTTCAACATCCTTTCTCTCTCTTACTTTTCAAAAAACTCCATTGGAGAGCTCCTCTCACTAGAAACCCAACTTCTCTCTAGATATTGATCTAGTTAGAGTGATCTCCCACCTTAGTCCCTTTGTAAAAAGAGTGGAGTTTGTTGTGGGCTATCTTTTGATCCGAAAAGTTCTTGATTTGGAGCACTTCAAGATTTCTACATCTTCTTCCTTTGAACTCCGAATTTGAGGTAGGGATAACTACTCATTCCTATGGTCTTTGACATAAACTATTAGTCTTTTTGATATAATATTGAGTTTGGTGATTTTGGGTGTTAGGGTTTCAAAATGTATAAAAGAGGGGTTTTGTATTTTAAGCCTATACATGTGTATTTGGGTCTAGAAATAAGATTATTGGTGTTGTTAATAATATTTGGACCTTTGGGTCAATATTGAGCTTTAGGGGGAAAATGCCATATTTGGGTATATTTGGATCATTAGTGTAATTAATGACATTTGTTATGGAATTATGAAATTGAGTTGGGAATAATGAAATTGGCTCATTATGAGATAGAATGGTGGAGTTGGATTTATAAATCGCTCACTTTTGAAAATGTCAATTATATATCTGTTGAGGCATTTATTATCTATTTAGAAATAACTACTTTAGGCTATCGGTGGAGGATAATCTTGATTGTTGTAGACATTGCATGATGATTAGGTGAATTGAAACTAATCAGGTTGCATATTTGAATACATGGGTGCCGAATCCCGCGGATGAAATTTTCGTAAAATAGCCATTTGAAAATAATTACACATGGGTGCCGAATCCTGCGGACGCAATATCCGTAAAATGGCAATTCGAATATAATTATACATGGATGTCGAATCTCGCGGACGCAATTTCCGTAAAATGGCAATCCGAAAATACCTATACATGGGTGCCAAGTCTCACAGATGAAATATCCGTAAAATGGCCATAAGAGAATAAGAACACATGGGTGCCGAATCCCACAGATGCAATTTCCGTAAAATGGCAGTTTGAAGTATTGTTGACATGAGATGTAGTCTCACTTAAGTTGTTTGGCCAGGTTCTGAGACATGTTTATAAGTTGAGTTTTGTTAAGTTAAGGATTATGGAACTGGATTGTACTGTAGGTTGGTTTATATGAGTTAAACATTTATCAAATGCCTATGTTTTAGTTATTGCTCATATTATGTTTAGCATATCTCTACTGGGCGTTGGCTCACCCTATATGGGACATTATTTTCAAGTACAGGTAGCATGCGACCTCCAAGGACGTAGCTTGAGAGGCTTAGTGGCTGGGACATCTTTTGTGATTACATTTTTGTATTACATGTGTATTAAGCCAAGGGCTTATTATCTGTTTTGAGTTAGTACTCACTCTTTTTGTATCCAAGTGTTGAGTTGGAAAGTTGTAAGCCCGTAGGGCATTTACTTTTGTTGTCAACATGTAATACATTTTGTAATGAATACTCTGATGAAATGTAATTATGCTTTATCCTCTTATGTCAGTAAGAATACTCTGATGATTGTAATATGAAAACTCTTTTATTTATCGTGAATGTATGCTATGATGGGTTTATTTTTTGAGGGCGTTACAACTTGGTATCAAAGCGTACCGGGTTTGAATACTTTGGGTACGCGGGAAGTGGTTAGTACCACAATGGATTCGTCTCGCTTATTAGAGACTTAGATGTAGCGTTATATGCTTATATGATAACATGTTTATATGACTATTTGGGTATGGAATTTAATTTCTAGGATGTTGATTAGATCCTTGGGTTTCTGTGAGTCTTGTTGGAAAAGCACTTGATCAATGCTGTTTCTAACCGGAACTCTAGTAACGCCTCGGGACTATCATTATCCAGAAATGAAATTCGTAGGTGCTTATGTGATTATGTGCTTGCGTGGAATGAATTGCAGTTGTCCATTGCATTAGGGCGCGAGTGCTATAGCTTCGGCACATTTGTGAATGTGCTAATGTTCTTCGTTACCTTTATTAGGATGTCAGGACGAGGACGTGGTGGTAGGCGAGGCAGGCCTAGGAGGCAGGAAATGCCTATACCGGATGATATTCCGGCGCAGCAGGAGGGTGTTGGTCAGGCCAATGTAGCCGAGCCAGTGGGGTAGCAGGCCATAGGTGCCTTAGCTCGTGAGATAGCAGGAGCAATGAGGGAATCTATAGGCATTCTCAGAGCTGAGAATCCAGTGCAGGCCCAGGTTGTTGATGCAGGGCCTTCCTTTCAGAAGAGGGAGTTCTTCCGGTCTAATCCGGATGAGTTTGTTGGGGATCCAAAGGAGCCACTTAAGGCTGATAAGTGGCTGGAGCAGATGACCAAGATATTTGAGATGATTGGCATCGAAGACGGGGTATTAAAGGTGACCTTGGCATCTTTCCAGCTTAAGGGGGATGCGGGTCAGTGGTGGAAGTTCGTAAAGGGTCGTATTGGTGGCACATGGGAGGCCTTTGTAGATGCTTTCCAGGAGAAATACTTAGCCCCAGCGGTCAAGGAGAAGCTGAGGTACCAGTTTTGTCAGCTCAAGCAGCTAGGTTTGTAAGTGGCCGAGTTTGAGGCCACCTTTACCAGTTTGTCCAGGTTCGCACCCGGGCTCGTGGCATTTGAGGAACGTCGTTGCATTGAGTTCGAGAGGAAGTTGAGGCATGGCCTCAAGATGAGGGTTGGGGGATCTATGATCTGGGAATATGGGTGTCTTGTGGATGCCGCGACCCATATGGAGTCTATGATGGAGAAGGAGGAGAGGATAAGGGGCTCTAAGAGGAGTCAAGATGGCCAGGGGGATGATAGAAGGCAGAAGGGTTCTAACTCTCAGCAGTCCCAGGGTGCTTCAACGAGATCTACCTTTCTAATACCGAGTTCGGGTTCTAGGAGAGGCAACCAGGGAGACTTTACCTGTTTCAAGTGTGGTCAGTTGGACCATAAGTCTCCAGCTTGCCCGCAGAGGGGAAGAGGTCAGGGAGCAGCTTTATCTTCAGCTCGACCTCAGAGCCAGAGTCAGGGCAGAGGTCGGTCGTCCTCTTGTTACCAGTGTGGTCAAGCAGGGCACCTGAAGAGGTTCTGCCCATAGTTGGGTGGTACACTCGGTGCGTCTGGTTTAAGACAGACGCAGAGTTCGCAGCCAGCACAGTCTGTTCAGGCCTCGAGGGCCAATCAAAGGGCTTCATCGTCTCAGTCTGTGCACCAGTCTTTTGCTCCGAGAGGCGAGCAGGTAGATCAGGGGCCTACAGGGCGTGTGTATACTGTTACTGCGCAAGATCTTATACCAGCTCCATCTGTTATAAGAGATACCTTTTTGTTTTGCAACTCGGTTGCCAATGTGTTGATTGATACGGGTGCATCTCATTCCTTTATATCTGCTGCATTCGCATCTGCTTTGGGATTGGAGTTGGCACAGTTAGCATCTTCTATTTGTGTTATATCACCTGTTGGGGGCGAATTGATTTTGAAACACGGATGTAGAGGTTGTGACATAGAGGTCGCCGACCGCCGACT